GTTTTCATTTTGGTCTGTGATAGAAATAAAGTTGTTTGCTTAAATTAATTAGAAAGGCACTGTGCCCATAATTACGGAGAAGTTAACAGGTTTTAAAACTCTCATTGGAAGCAATATGCCATTCTATTTTAATTAAATCGCACCTCAGCTTCACTTGAGAATATGTCACCCAGGATGATGCAAATAACATGATACACATTTGAGTTGTTTTAATCTACCACCATGTATGAAATAACATGCAAAGAATTGAATTAAATTGAATTGAATTAATTAATTAATAGCAGCTGCCATTAAAAGCAATCAAACAGCACGTGATCAGAACGAGGAGAATTCTGTCATGTGTATAGTGTCTCCTTGGTTGCTGTTTGGGGTGGAGATCGCTAGACAATTTCTAAAGTGGTTAGTAAACATTACAAGCTGTGCCCAGAAATAGTAAAGAGCTGGCATAAAGGCAGGAGTGAGGGTGGTGGTTAATATTCCTTCTATTCAACATCTATATTTTTCTGTTTTATTTTTTTGGCAACAGTACAAAACTAGTGTGCTATTACTTGAAACCAGCCAAGGTGTTGCCAAAGCTAGAGCTGATATCATTCTTCCAATATTGGTTAGGAGCAGATGTCCCCACCAATTTATTCCTTGATGCCTGCTTAGCTCCCTGCCTTTATTAAATGTTATTGGTAAAAGTGAAACTTATATGTTACAAATCATTAGCTTCAAGGGATACTATTTACTTTTCTAGACTGTTACTATGAATCCGTAACTGCCCCAGAGGCAGTTCAGATGTACTCGTTCATTCTCGAGAACTAGGAGTGCCTGCTTTGTAAGCAAGTACATTAATCACAAGTTCCAATTAAAGGTCCAATTTCACCCTGTTGACTTGTGAAAAGCTTTGTTTGTTTTAGAGCCTCGGGCTAACGTCTGGATCTGGAACCGGACAAGAGAAATAGATTTCAATAGCAGCGTTCTGGCTGTGCTTTGCTTAAGATTAGAAAATAACGTTCTTGCAAGGAAAAATAAATCTTCCATCACTTTCTTCCTGCAGATAATAGAATATGAGAAAAACCAGACTCTAGGACAAAATGACACTGGATTTAGCTGCGATGGAACGGCCAGCACCTTCAGAGTTATGTTCAAAGAACCAATAGAGATTTTGCCGACCGTGTGTTATACTGCTTGTGCAACCTTGAAAGTAAGACACTTTTTTGAAATTGCGGAAACAGTAACCGTAAAGCAATGAACCAATGATATGAAGATGCAAGTAGTCTTTGACTTACAACAGTTCATTTAGTGACCGAGGTTACAATGGCACTGAAATGGCATTTGGGTTGTTTGACCGTTTTTCACACTGTCGACCGTCACGGCATTCCCACTGGTCACGTGACCAGAATTCAGAGGCTTGGCAACTGACTTTATGACAGTTGCAGTGTCCCAGGGTTATGTGATTGCCCTTTGCGACCTTCTGACAAAGGGGAAGCCAGATTCACTTAATGACCTAACTTAACTGCAGGGATTCACTTAACACCTGTGTCCAGAAAGATCATCGAACGGGGGCAAAACTCACTGCCTCACTTAGCAGCAGAAATTTTGGGCTCACTTGTGCGCTCAATATGAGGATTACTTGTATATTTCTAATAATAATAATCCAGGAAGTGCTTCTTTAAAACCACATTCTATAACAGATGTCCTGCAAAATCATAATGCTTTGCTTTGAAATTCTCATAGCCTAGTGTGCATTCTAAGTTTACATATCCCCAGGTATGAAAGGAAAACCTAGTATAGAATAGAGCTGGAAGGGACCCTGGAGGTCTTCTAATCCAGCCCCCTGCTCAAGCAGGAGAACCTACACCATCTCAGACAGGTCATTGTCTAGTCTCTTCTTAAAAATCTCCAGTGATGGAGCGCTCACGATTTCTGGAGGCAAGCTTTTCCACTGGTTGATTGTCCTCACTGTCAGGAAGTTTCTCCTTAATTCCAGGTTGCTTCTCTCCTTGATCAGTTTCCAACCGTTGTTTCTCATCCTTCACTCTGGTGCTCTGGTGAACAACCTGACCCCCTCCGCCTTGTGGCAGCCCCTCAGATACTGGGACACTGCTATCACGTCTCCCCTATTTCTTCTTTTCTTTAGACTAGTCAAACCCAAGTCCCGCAGCCGTTCTTCGTATGTTTTAGCCTCCGGGCCTTGGATCCTCTTAGTTGCTCTTCTCTGAATTTTTTCCAAACTCTCAACCTCTTTTTTGTGATCTGGTGATCAAAATTGGCTGCACTATTCCAGGCGTGGCCTCACTAGGGTTTTATAAAGCGGTACTAATACCTCACGTGATCTTGATTCTATGGAGCCAGAATAATGAATCTCTGTTTCTGCTTAGGGCCCCGATTCTCATTACGGCACCAAGGGTTTGAAAAAAGTGATCCACGAATCTCCAACTTCAAGCAAAACCTGCTTTTTCTTCTTTAGCTCACCGGGTAACAACAATGGAACATCAATAGAAGATGGACAAATACCGGAAATTATATTTTATACGTAACTTCAGAAACATGAGATGGAGCAAAAAAAAAAAAAAAAGATTTCCTTTGAACATGAACAGAAGGGAAACATGAAATACTGTGAAATGTTTGTAAATACATAATCTCAGATGTGTTATAAAACTGAAGTATTGTACATGGAGGGTACCAAGCGCTAGTAGTCTCTGCCTACAAGGATGATACACAGCCAGTCTTTCTTGAACTAAAAAAACACTTCCCTGTACATAAATACTTAACATGGTCATTTAAAATGTGCTAACCATAATCTAGAAGCTGGGAAAGAGCATTTTTTCCCCCTGCAATTACAGCAGATTACATATCTGTGGGTATTGTGATTGTGCTCCTGTACAGTGCAACACATTGAACTGAATTGTCATTCTTAAAACTAACCATAAATTAGAATTAAGGATGATACAAACTCATCTTTAATAGTACTCAATACGTGTATATAAACTTAGTTTTGTTGTGTCCTAAGAAAAATGTCACCCAGAAGTCAGTTGTATGAAGCTATTCTTTAACTATAAAGTGAACTGTGGATGAAATGAAGTATCTTTTTGAATACTTACAGAGATCTTGAATATTTTTGGTCTGTAAGGAAACAATCCTTAGTGTGGTAACTGAAGTTTTCCACAGCATGCAGAAAGCAGTTTTTAAGGAAATTGGGCAAACTTCAGAGAACTATGTATTAATATTGGATACTCAAGCCTTGGTTTTCTCAAATGGCAAATTGTTTGAGGAGATCGATGATAATGCAATTTATGCATGCCTACTCAGAATGAAATCTCAGCAAGACCTCTCTTGGGGTACTAGAGGATTGTTTCCTGCTGATTGGCATAATTATGGCTCAGATTTTGCTTTAAACCTCTTACCAGTTCATGCAGTCTTAAACCCTTAAGTCTCAGTTTCTGTCTGAAAAACATTACAGAATAAAGTTAATTTTGCTGAGGGTTTTCTGCTAGATGGCATGTAAAGTAATTTGAAAATTCTGAAAAATACTTCAAGAGGTGAAATTGAAAAGCACATTTGCTATAATAGATGATGCTTGGAGTGAAATTACTCAAGTGCCAGCCCTCATCCCTAATCATTGATGATGTTACCTCGTTAGGGTAATGAAACATCTGCAAGAAAACAGGCAAGCTCAGAGAGTGCCATGGACTTCTCATCCCTAATGCTATCAATCTGGATTCTAACCATCTTGTAGAAGCTTTTGGCTATGATTACAGTGATCTTAATCCCACCTGTAGTAATGCAACCTTGGTTTCTGAGTCTAGATCTGTTTATGTGGCAAGTCATAAATATTCAAAATGTAACTAGATTCAGAAGCAGAAAAATACACCACTGAAGAAACAATAAAAATAAGATATAATCAATAACCTAAGCCCCAGGATACCTATGGATATGTTGAAATTCCAGCTGCAGACTTCCCCATGTTGGATTAAATCTTTCATTGGCTAGGGATGATAGGCATTGTGGTCTTAACACAAAGGACATTCTTGAGGAAGGCTTGGGCAAATCTTCAGTGGAAAAGATCTATGGTTATTTAAGGACTCCCTTTGTGTGTGAGAGTGAATGGCGACAGGAACATGTTTTCTTTTTTGACAAGTTAGGATACCCTCACCCAATGCTCTTGAGCAGAGGTCTTCAAACTTGGCCCTTTTATGACTTGTGGACTTCAACTCCCAGAATTCCTCAGCCAGTGGGCTAAGGAATTCTGGGAGTTGAAGTCCACAAGTCATAAAAGGGTCAAGTTTGAAGACCCCCCTGCTCTTGAGACTATTTTTTTTCCAGTTTGTACAACACATTGAGCCATCGACTAACTAAGCCAATGTTTCTCATACTTGATAACTTTTAAGATGTATGGACTTCAACCCCCAGAATTCCCCAGCCAGGCTAATGGGCCAATGGGCATTGTCAGTGCATCATCCTAAACCAGAAGTAGGCAACCTCGGCTCTTTTATGACTCATGGACTTCAACATAGCTGACTCAGGAATTCTGGGAGTTGAAATCCATGAGTCATAAAAGAACCGAGGTTGCCTACCCCTGTTCTAAACCGATCCCCCACCTCCACCCTCTGCATCTGAGTTATCTGAAGTAGCCGTGTCAATGTTCTGCTAGGTTTTCAAATGATCCTATTAGGCGGGGGTCTTCCAACTTGGCCCTTTTAGGACTTGTGGACTTCAACTCCCAGAATTCCTTAGCTAGGCAAGCTGGCTGAGGAATTCTGGGAGTTGACGTCCACAAGTCCTAAAAGGACCAAGGCATGCAGCAATGAGCACGTCCAAACACTGAAAATCTGGACCTGCTTTATACATTTATTTTAATTGAATTTAATTTAGTCGTAAGATTTTTTTTTTTTTTTATAAATAGCCAAAGTTATCTGCCCACCACAGCCTGGTGCTCTTAAACCCCGCTCGCTTCCTCCGAAGCTTTTCCTAAAAGCCATCCCGCAGGCGGAAAGCATTCGAGGCGCGCCTCTACCCTTTCTTCTATCTCTAGGAGCGAGGCCGACCGGAAAGGGAAGGCGGAAGTGACGCAGACCCCGCAATGCTGGGTTGGGCTGTTCCGGCTTTCTGCCGCCGTTCGGCGTGCCCGGCTTGGGCTGCCGCGGGACGGAGACCTGCCATGTCCCGGAAGGTTAGTCCCGGGGAGCGGACGCCGCTGAAGAGGCCGCAGGCCTTCGTGCGCGCGTTTTGAACTACGGCCCCCTTCCTCTCCCACCTGCCGCCGCGTTGGAGGGGATGATGGGAGTTGTAGTCTGGCGCGCCCGGAGACGTTGCGCTTCCTGGTTGGGAGAGACCGTTGGCAGGACGAAGCGCAGAGGGGCAGACTCCGCCCCCCTTGGGGAGGATGGTCCCTTGGGTCAATTGAGGGTCCCAATGCAATTTGGGGGGGGGGAGCCAGCCTTGGCTGCTGTTCAGGGTTTGGGGGTCTGCAGGAGTCCATGGGAAGCGAAAAAGTGACTTCGGGCTGTCTTAGCAAAAGCAATAGCCCTTAGATTTATATACTGCTTCACAGTGCTTTACAGCCCTCTCTAAGCGGTTTACAGAGTCAGCCTATTGCCCCCAACAAACTGGGTCCTCATTTTACTGTATTTGGAAGAATGGAAGGCTGAGTCAACCTTGAGCCAGTCAGCATCAAACTCCTGGCAGTAGGCAGAATTAGCCTGCAACAGCATTTAGCACTTAGACTTATATACTGCTTCATAGTGCTTTACAGCCCTCTCTAAGCGGTTTACAGAGTCAGCCTCTTGCCCCCAACAATCTAGGTCCTCATTTTACCAGCTTTGGAAGGATGTAAGGCTGAGTCAACCTTTAGCCAGTCAGCATCAAACTCCTGGAAGTAGGCAGAGTTAGCTTGCAACAGCATTTAGCACTTAGACTTATATACCGCTTCATAGTGCTTTACAGCCCTTTCTAAGCGGTTTACAGAGTCGGCATATTGTCCCCAACCATCTAGCTCCTCATTTTACTGACCTTGGAAGGCTGAGTCAACTGTGAGCTGGTTAGGATTGAACTGCCTGCTGTGGGCAGAGTTTGCCTGCAGTACTGTATCCTAACCACTCAGCCACCATATTTGTGGGCCATTTGCAGACAGCCATGGGTTGGTCTGGTCCTCCAAATTTGAGATCCAACACAACAGCCACAAATCAAAGCCGTGGGAGAGACACACGAAAGCTTCCCTCTGCATTGGTGTTCTATTATAATCAACTCAAGTGTTAACAGAATGCATTGTAATGAGGATTATGGTGTGGAGGGAGAAGGAGAGGGAGAGGGGGAGGGAGGGAGGGAGGGAGGGAGAGAGAGAGAGAGAGAGAGAGAGAGAGAAGATATGGATGTTGGGAGTGGAAGATGGTGGTTTATTAATTTATATGCTGCCCATCTCACAGTCCAGGACTCTTTGTGTTTTGATTTAAGGGGAAAGCACAGACCAAGGTCTTTGTAAAGCCTGCTGGTCCTCCCGTTCCTGTGACAACTGATAAAAGTGGTTCTGTTGTTATCTCTATTCATGCCAAACCAGGATCTAAACAAAATGCTATAACAGGTAAGCTAGAGCATAAGTACCTATGCAACACTGATAGGGTTTTTGATAGATGTTTTGCCCTATGCCCCAGCAAGTTTTCCTCAGTGAAATGATTTGAGAATGAGGGTTGTCTTGCAGTACTTGTAGTCTATGTATGATTTGAACTCAGGGCAATTGGTTGGAGACTGCACTTCTTAGAAATCAGGGAAGTGTCTGTAGCCATTTTTTTTGTTTGTGTCCTGGGATATTGGTGTTGTGATTGGCCACATAGATCTTAGCAAGTGTTCTGTGGACACTCCCATAATGTGTTATTAAAATTCCAAATGTATCTGCTAATCCAAGAGTTTCAACCTTAGCAACTTTAACTGGTGGCTGAGGAATTCTGGGAGTTGAAATTCACATATTTTAAAAGTTGCAAGAGTTGAAAAACACTGCACTAATCTGAAAAGGTATGGAGACCCTTGTAGTGATCCATCTTTTTTTCCAGATCTGTCCAGTGGCTTGTCCCCTTGAATAGTAAAAGACAGCAGTGTAGAGCAGAAGGGAAAGTATGCTATTCATGAACCATGCCAAGTTCTAGAACAGATAGAAAAATGCTAAAAAAAAAAAAGTCCTGTCCTCTGCAGAAGGAAATATACAGATCTAAACAAAATGCATTCCGATGATAAATGCTCCCAGTGGGAAGAAACTAATCCAAACAGTTTGGAAAAGTGTCAAGCCTTTTGCTTATTACATAACTAGCTAGAGAAGAGGATTTTTTTCACTCTGCTTCAGATCATAGAAACTCTTGAAGTATTGATGTTGGTCTTTATTTACGGGAGGCATTTAAGAGAGTGGGTTAAGAGAAGCTTCAGCTAGGCTACTCCATAGCTATGGCTATAAATCTCTTATCTAAGCTAATGTTGACATTACATACAGGGGAGGCATTTTAGGGCATGAGTTTAACAGAAGTGATGGCTACATCCCAAAATACTTGTTGCAGATCTGACCACCGATGTGGTAAGTGTGGCCATCGCAGCCCCTCCATCTGAAGGGGAAGCCAACACAGAGCTCTGTCGATACCTCTCTAAAGTCCTTGAAATCAAGAAGAATGATGTCGTATTGGAGAAGGTACGTGCTTCTCTCCTTCTCTCCTAATTCAACCTGGGTTTTTGAATCTTCCCCCTGTGCGCAAACGGCAAAAGAATCCATTTAGGAATCCCTAAACGTCTCTTGCTTGTGTTTTAAAACAGGGGAGTAAATCTCGAGAAAAAGTGGTGAAAATTTTGGCCCCACTGACTCCAGAGGACGTTTTAGAGAAGCTGAAGAAAGAGAGTTCCAGCTGAAGAGTTAAGCTGAAGTCTTAACAAGTGGTTTCTCCGGATGCAAAGGACGTCTACCTTTAGGTATATGGGAGCTCACAAATACAAGTGGTGGAGAATCCAACAAGAAATCTGTAGACAGCTATAAAGCTTAATTTAAGATTTTTTTTAAAAGGGTCCGGTTACTTTAGTGTCATGATAACAAGGCGCAAAGTTATTTGAAAGAGCCTCACTGGGATCCATAGAGGACCTTGGTCAGTCCATCGTGACATTTTTTTCAAGTCGGTTCTTTCGGAGTATGTTTAGCTCAGGGGTAGGCAACCTTGGCTCTTTTATGACTCGTGGACTTCAACTCCCAGAATTCCCGAGCCAGCCATGCTGAGGGGAAAGGGAGAGGTTTCCAAGCTGAACCATGCTGGCTCAGGAATTCTGAGAGTTGACATCCACGAGTCATAAAAGAGCCAAGGTTGCCTACCCCTGGTTTAGCTGGTCAGGAAGGCAGTTGTCATTTTTACTGCATCCAAGATGATACAAGAAAGGCACTACATAACTGTGATAGACATCTCATCTATTTGCACCTTTGGTAAACAGGCTTGGTGAATTATTGCCAACCTCCTTTGACCAGAGATCATTAGCAGTTAATAAAAAATGCAGGGCACAATTTTTCTCATGCAGATACTTTGGTCAGTCACAGTGCTTGGACAGTACTTGCAAATTCTGTTTTGACTTTAAGTACAGTAGGGTTCCCCCCTCCCCTCTCCTACATCGCTTCCATACCAAGATCTGAGCTTTGTATTATTGGATGCAGAAAATGTGTCTTCGGTTTTATATTTGCATTTGTGAAGCTGTCGCTCCCTTAAATGGTTTCCATCACATGGAAGGAACAAAAATCTGCACTCCCCCCCTTTGAATTAGAGAAGGGCTTTTTAAATTTATTTATCTGCGGCGTCCCCAGGCCTGCATTTCGCAGTCAGAGGCCTTTCCAAGAAGGTCACTGCAGCCGAGAATCCCAGCTATAGATTCAATCCATAGCTCGGTTTTGCAAGAGACCTGCAGCCGAGGGCTGAGCTATGGATTGAATCCATAGCTCGGCACTCGTCTGCAGAGGCCTTCCAGAAAGGCTTGACTGCAAAATGCAGGCTGGAATGCAACTGCAGCATGAAACTGCTCCTTCGGCCCAAGAAGAAGTGGGCCACCTGGGTGGGGCAGCAGTTAGAGTGCAGTACTGCAGGCCACTTTAGCTGACTGTGTTCAGCAGGTCAGCGGTTCAAATCTCACCGGCTCAAGGTTGACTCAGCCTTCCATCCTTCCGAGGGTAGGTAAAATGAGGACCCAGATTGTTGGGGGCAATGTAAATATATATATACATTGCTTACTGGTGTACACCGCTTAGAGAGTGATTGCACTTAAAGCGGTATATAAGTCTCATAAATAAATAAAATAAATAAATAAAATCCCCCCCAAAGTAAGACCTGGTGCCTCTTTTGAGGCAAAAAATAAAAAATAAAAATAAGACCCGGTCTTATTTTCAGGGAAACATGGTACTTATCTACACACATTTGCAAGCTTTCAAACTGCTAGGTTAGCAGGCACTGGGGCAAGGACGGAGAGCTCACCCCAAAACATGGAGGTCCCGAAATGGAGACATTTGGAGTCCCTTAAATCTCTCCTTCTCATCATGTTGGGTTTTTTGGCTTGATGCTAGACAAAATGCCTCGTTCCTGTGCCATGTTTTAAAATAAAACCGGCTGATATTTTTGTCAGTTGGATTTTATGATTTTTATCTCATTTATTTTATTCCCGTTGATGGAGCTGCCCATCTGGCAAAGCGACTGACGAGCGGGGTTGCAAGACTCCCGTGCACATCATTGGCAGCCTGTTTGTTGCATTTGCCAGTTGCGGTCTTGACGGCAGAGAGAGAAAGCGCTCCGTTTGAACCCAGGGAATGTTCCATGTTGTGTTTGGACTTAACTGCTCCCCTCCGTTTCAGCCTTCTCCCTGTGCTTCTCTGCACTGTCCCGTCTTCTTCTCTCTCTCTTTTTTTTTCCTGTATAATTGATATATTAAGGCCCTCGATTTGCATTTCCGTTCTTGGCAAATTAAAAGGATTGTGTTGTTCATTTGGCCCTCTCGGTCTCGCATCCCCATCCTCAGAAGCCATCCGTGAGCCCTCCGTGCTCAGCACCATCTATTCAAATCATTCCAGGAGATAAAAGCCTTTCCAGGAACGCAGCCATAATTTCCCCAGCCACCAGCAGCAGCAGCAAAACAACAACGAAAAGCTTTGCCTTTGCTTCTTCCTTCCACCTCATTATTCTCACTTTGCATCCATGAGCTCTGTCTTGTTCCGGCTTCCTGTTGTCATGGGTTAATGTGTTTTTTCTTTCTTTCTAACGTAAGATGATGCATTGCTCAATCAACAGGCTTTTCATCTAACTGTACACTATAGCTCAGTGGTTCTCAACCTTTTTAATGCCGCGACCCCCCAACCAGTCGTAAATCGAGGACTACTCAACCGGTCGTAAGTCGAGGACTACTCAGCTGGTGCAGCACCATTTGCAGAATGGGACTTTTGGCGGGCTCAGCAGGGCAGAGACAGCCTGGACAATTCCTATTGGCTTTTGAAAGCCAATAGAATTAGACTCTATTCAAGAGTCTAAAGCCAAAAGAATAAAAGGGAGTAGCACAGCTAAGGAAAAGGGGAAAAAAATAGTGGACTGCGTTGTTTGGCGATCCCCGTGAAATGGTCATTCGACCCCAAATGGGGTCCCGACCCACAAGTTGAGAACCACTGCACTAGCTCAAGAGTAAGGGGGCTTCCAAATTAGTTTTGAAACCCAGATAGGCTGCAGTCTTGAAGGGCATTATGGTGAAGGGGCCTCCTGGAGCCACCAGACTGCAGAAGAAGGCTACCACAATTCAGAGGGGCTGCTTCTGTTTGATTAGTGATATCTCTAGATGTGATTTGTGGTTTTCCCAGTTGCAGTGTGTGGGCCCACAGAGAAGGCTCCGAGTGCCACCTCTGGCACACGTGCCACAGGTTTGCCACCACTGACCTAAGCCCTTTGCATGGCCATCTGCCTTACTGGGGGCAAAGTGACCACCCAGACTGCATGAAACAGATTCTCTCAGAGAATCTGAGCTGAAATAGCCTGGAAGAAGTCTTTGAGCAAAAACTTGTATTGACCTTATGGAGATTTAAGAGCTGGTGATGCTGGTTCCAGGCCTACTGCTCCCCGTGGGTCTTTGAGAAGACCACCCAGGCTGGGTTTACAAAATATGGTAATCTACACCATCAGTACATCAATTAGAATAGAACTGGAAGGGAGCTTGGAGGTCTTCTAGTCCAGCCCCCTGCTCAAGCAGGAGAACCTATACCATCTTAGACAAGTGACTGTCTAGTCTCTTAAAAGCCTCCAGTGATGGAGCACCCACAACTCCTGAAGGCCAGCCCTTCCACTGGTTCAATGTTCTCACAGCTGGGAAGTTTCTCCTTAGTTCCAGGTTGCTTCTCTCGTCGACTAGTTTCCATCCGTTGTTTCTTGTCTTGCTTTCTGGTGCTTTGGAACCAATCAGTTTTCTAGAACCAATCAATCCACAGTAGAGTTGGGAGGAGTACAGGTAGTCCTCAACTTAGGACCACCATTGAGCCCAAAATTTCTGCTGCTGATGCAGACAATGTTCCAATATCTCAGGGGCTGCCCCAGAGAAGAGGGAGTCAAGCTATTCTCCAAAACGCCTGAAGGCAGGGCAAGAAGCAACGGGTGGAAACTAACCAAAGAGAGAAGCAACCTAGAACTAAGGAGAAACTTCCTGACAGTGGGAACAATTAACGAGTGGAACAACCTGCCTCCAGAAACGGTGAATGCTCCCAACACTGGAAGTCTTTAAGAAGAGACTGGACATCCATTTGTCTGAGATGGTGTAGTGTTTCCTGCCTGAGCAGGGGGTTGGACTAGATGAGCTCCAAGGTCCCTTCCAACTACTACTACTACTACTACTACTACTACTACTACTACTACTACTACTACTACTACTTCTTGTTCTTCTTCTTGTTGTTGTTATTATTATTATTATTATTAACATTGTAAAAGCGAGTTCATCTGGCAAGACCTTACAGAGCACCCACAGATGGCGTCATCGGGCAGGATTGACAGTTTAATCTCTTTTCCCAGGCAAAGGATTCTTCCTAGCTATTTCCTTTGAGAACATCTCCCATCATGATGTCACTGCAATCTGAAGATGTTAGGGCACGCTCGAAGGAGTGGCGCAGCAAAGCCGTCATCACGTGGAACTTTTCTGTTCCCGAGCCTGCTTGGTCTTGCCTCCCAAATAGCATCTTTCTGTGCCAATCTTTGCAGACCATCAAACTCCCTAGAGGCCCCTTGTCAGGAAGGGAGGGATCAAGCTTGGGCCTCCTCAAAAATGAAAATAGAAGGGGTTATCTGATTCAGTGAAAGTTGCCCGCGAATCTCTGTAGGTAGATGTAGCAATAAGTGCTGAATTACTCTTTCAGTAAGAGCTGACAGGTTGAGGAAGGGAGGTGGGCTGAGCAGTAACTCATCTTTCCAGATACTTAACCCTGTATTAGGCATTTGGCTTGACCTGACTGAAGACTCAAGAATTTTGGATAGTACATGGCTAGGTTTTTGTTTTCACTGAAGACCAGAATGAATTTTTATTATTATATATACTGCTGCTCAAAGCACGAAGCTGAAAGCACCAGCCTGAAGATGACGAATGGGACTTCGTCGAAACGTCGCCAAGACACACACACACACACACACACACACACACACACACACACATATATACATACATACATACATACACACACATACATACACACACACACACACATTTTATTAATGTTCTGGTTTTACAATCACATGCTTAATAGGCAACGTGTTGTCTGGGTCCATTAGTAATTCAGTGGTATATATTAAATTCTTCAATCTAGCTCAGTGGTGGCGAACCTATGGCATGCGCGCCAGAGGCGGCACTCGGAGCCCTCTCTGTGGGCACGCAAGCCGTTGCCCCAACCCCCACGACCCCCTCCTCACCAGCAGCCCCCCTGGAGGAGAGTCGCCCCCGAGGTTGGCCCACACGGAGCAGCGCAGCCAAGGACATGGCGGCCAGGCAGCGTAGACAAGACTGCCCTCACGGCCCATCGC